ACTTGGCTTGGTAGGGGCTGAGTTTGATGTGTGGCCGTGTTTTGAAACACTAAGGTGTCAAACAAATAATTAGGAGATATCTGTTAACCTAGATATATATTAATCTTTAAAACATAATAATATGTATGTAATTGTTTTCTTTTTCATTAAAACAAGCCTTGATATATTTTTTGACATTATTCTCTTAGACACCCCTAGAAATTCTAAGGAAATTCTTAAAAACCCATATTTTGAGTCCCAAGGACCACACGAACTCTAGTCTGGTCATGTTTTGAATCACTAAGGGGTCAAACAAATAATTAGGAGATATAGGTTAACCTACATATACATTAATCTTTAAAACACAATAATATGTATATAATTGTTTTCATTCAAACAAGCCTTAATATATTTTTTTGACATTAGTCTCTTGTAGATACACCTTAGAAATTATAAGGGAATTCCTAAAAACCCATATTTTGAGTCCCAAGGACCACACAAACTCTAGTTAGGCATAGCTGACCTAGATCTAGATTAATTATCTTAAAACTATCTAAAACCTATCCCAAGTTGCAGTTGATCCTAAGAGCTTTTCAACGGTCCAAAAATCACTCAAATCAGACCTATGAATCAAAAGTTAGAAGCTTCATAAATTTAAAAGGATAAATTACCAAAATGTCCCTATGCACGATTTGCAGCGATCGCGGACGGGCCATGCTCCACATGGCATGTCGAGCCGTGTGACAAGTTGAGATCCATAGGTCCCGATGGGCCCGGGGCATCATATTCCCTTTTTAATTAGGTTTTTTAAAGGCAGTTTTAATTCAAAATATTATGAAAAATGCCTTAATCCTAATAAAACTCGAATTAGGAGAATAGATCAATTGATTTCAACCCTGTCAAAACCTATGAATCCCCCCACTAAATTCATAAAAAAATGACTTAGAAATCCCTAGAAAATTAGTTCGGAAAATTCTTATAACTTATTAGAAAATTCCCAAAAATTTCCAGATAATTAAAAACCGTTTAGAAAATTAGAAAAAAAAATCCTAGGAAATTAGAAAAAAAACTAAAAAATTTGAAAATTCGTCCAAAAACGCTATAAAGATAAAAAATCCTAAAACCCCTAGAAAATTAAGGAAACATTTAAAAATTAGAGAAAACCTTTAGAAAATTAGAGAATATTCCTAGAAAAGTTAAGCTAAAAGCTCATAATCCCAAATCCTCTCAAATTAGAACCTACCTTCAAATAGTATCGAGAAATGTAGTTTCAATACTGGAAATATTTGTGATAGCCTTAAATTTTCATATTTAATTATAAAATTTAAAGCTTCAAAAATAGTGTAGATCAAGCGTATCTATGACAACTTGAAAATCTTGAAAATTGACGGTTAAAAAATGTGCTACAAAGGTGCACTATTTCCAAAACTTTGAAATCCATTTTTTTCTCATGTACATGTATCTTGATGTCAAGATGATCAATTTGAGAACATTTGGGCATCAAAAATAGCATCTTAAGATTGAATTTTTTTCTCATGTACATGTATCTTGATGTCAAGATGATCAATTTGAGAACATTTGGGCATCAAAAATAGCATCTTAAGATTGAATGTAAACGTTCCACATTTTGGATGGTGAGATCTAAGTGTTCAAAAACTTAAAATCTCTTCCTCTTTTTTTGTGGGAAAATACTCATTTCGAGATTCTTGAGTGGGTCCCAAAATTTTAGATAAAAAAAAAACAGCCTTTTACGTGACGAAGCAAGTGTAAAGTATGCTCCCTTGGAAGCACGCTCTTTGATTGCCTCACTTTTGAAGTTCCTCATACAATAAAAATAAGTGAACTCCTATTAAAATCTTGATGTTTATTAAAATCTCTAGATGTAAGAAGGGTGAGGATCTTAAATTTTTTATTAACCTGTTCCAAACCTAGGTAAAAGAGGTTGGCTGTGTTAAGTAGACAGACAGTAAAAGTTGTCAAAACTTTTTATGAATCCTGAAATTACATTAATTGTTTACAACATCATTGAGAGTATGACCCATAATAAAGCAGAATGACAGAAAAATAATTCATGTAGCCAATCCAAAATAGTTGGAAAAAGGCTTTGATAATGATGATGATGGTGATGAATGATGATGATCCATAGATCTCGAGGTTAAGATGATCGATTGGAAGCTGTTTCGAAACATGTTGTTGTCTTGGATTTTAAGGTATAAGATTGCAACCTTATATAAACTTTTTCTTTTTTGTAAAACACATATTTTATTTCATGGATGATTATACATTATACAACCAATTTTACTTTTATTCATAATAGATACAGACATCTACATCCGTCGGATTTGAATTTCGACAGCTAAGATGTGTCATAATACTGAAAAAGTGTTTTTCAATTTGAGTTCGAGATGGGACACCTCGTGCCGCCCGATTTTATATCCAACTGCTAGGATCATTCGTGATCTCCTTGTACCATTTTTATTTCACTTCAAGTACTATGTCTCAGAAAAATAGTCCCCTCTCTCTCTCTCTAAACCCCAAAAACTTTTTCTTCTTTCGATCCATACGGCCCTCGAGCTCCTGCGGTGCGGCTCTCTCTTTCTCTCTTCTCAAACTTGCAGACGACACCTACCCTAGCTACCCACTCAAGCTCTTATCAACGCGGGGTATTTTCCTTTCTTTGCTTCGATTTATTACTATTTGTTTTTTGGGTTATTCTCTGTTGCTGTATAATTTTTATACTCTTTTTGCAGCTGTGTTAAATTTCTCATTCTCTCCTGTCAAGTTTAATTTTTATTTTTTATTTAAGTACCTTTGTATTGTGTTAATCGGTTTTCCCAGTTGAGCTGATGGAGTTCTTATGCTGCATTTGTATGTCTTACTCATATGGTTTGATTTCCCTCTGTTGATTTTCTGTATTAGGGTTTCATTTGTTTGCCATGTATTTGAATGTTGGGTTTTCTTATATTTGAATTTAGGAAAATTGGCATGTGAATTTATGGGGGGTTCCTTTTTCGGATAGGTCATATTACTGAGTTTTTTCATTCTCTTCAGTTAAATAAATCTAAGAGATTTTCATTGATTACTGGTGCACTCTATTAGTGGGTTTCATTCTGATTGAGCGATGAACTTTTTTGTGACCTCCTTTTAGTTTTCTTCCATATGAATATGAAATTGTATTAGTCTTTGTTCACATAGAAGAATCATGCGTCGATTTTCAGTTTATCATCCCTGTAGTTTTTACGCAGCTTTAATTAATTGATATTTTAGAACAAAATTCTTTACATGTCATTTCGCGAGGTTTATTTTTACTGTTAAACTTTTATCTTCCCAATCAAACATAGGCTTTTTCATCATTTTTTGCAGATTCTTATCAGTATTTTCTGAAATGGGATAGCTCGTACAACTCACTTGTTTCTTCCACCTAAGCCTCAGCTACCGGTCTAGGTTTTCATTCCCGCTGATGCATTCGAAAACTATTAACTATTTCTAAAATGGGTAGGGGCCTATATTCCCCACTGATCTACCCAAAACAAAAAAACTCAATTGTTTCTCCCTCTAAGTTTACAATGTTGACAAAAATGCTCTCTCCAGGCAATTTATCTCTCTCTCACTCTCTGACCCAATGGTGTTCCTCATTATACAAAATATTACACAAGGAAAATTTGTTTCTTCTGCCTCGACGCTTATCCCAGGTCACATTTGTAGGGTTCTTTATCATGACATCATTCGAGTGTCTTCTTGTTGATGTTGCAATGGACTTTTAACTTGTTATCCACTTTCCTGAGATGGGCATTTAAACCGATTCCAAATTAATCCGAATTTTTTCACTCTGATTTATTTCCATATGCATATTAATATGAGCAATTTCTTACTTGGAAAAAAAAGAAATAGCAAGACCAATTTGTTTGTTTTACTTTGAAAGTCATGAGCAATTTGATTGTGATGACATGCTAGGAGCTGGTGTCTGTGTTCTAGTATAGTCAAGATGCTCGTGTAATTTTGTTTTTCTCTTGTGTTGTATGTAATATTCATCGCATTCATTACCATACGTTTAGATCGTGCAAGATGGGTAAAAAGGTGAAGAAAGTGATGAAGAACGTAGGGAATGATTTGCCTGCTGCTTCTTCAATTCCTGAAAACCAGAGCCTAGACTTTCTGGTATGTGCTGTCCTCTTATAAAGAGCTCAGGTGTGAGGTTTACTTTATTTTTGGTTTATGTGTGCTGTTAAATGTTTATGTAGCCTTTAGAAGGCGGTCCCGGGAAAAGGATTCCCAACGAAGAAGATGTCAATGTAAGCAATTCTACTGTTCTATATATTGGTCGGATTCCACGTGGATTTTATGAAGATGAAATGAGAGGTGTGGTTTCATTTCTTGTTCTTGACAACGATCTACTCACTTTTATGACATTATGATGGTTTTCTTGTTCTAAGAAATGAGCATTTTGTAGGTTTCTTTGAGCAATTCGGGACTATCAAGAACTTGCGGATAGCACGTAACAGAAAGGTTGCATTTTTAGTTTCTGCTTTACTTTCAGGCAGTTGGAAGAAATGGTTGAATGCTAGGTCTTTGATCACATCAAGACCTCATTGCTTTTTTTTTTTTTTTGCCTATCCACATTTGCAAGAAATAACTCTGAAGCTATCCTTTAGTGAAGTATCTGAGAACACTTCTTTTTGATGTAGACGTAGTGGTACATGGAGTTTTGTTTTCCAATTATTGGAGGGTCATGATTTTCCAGTAATAGTTTTGATAATTTCTTCAAAATTTGTTTGTCTGGACTCTGGAAACATTTTGATAAACTCTTCTGTGATTATATCATCTTTGGGCTTGTTAATAATAAACCATCATGTGCTTGGAAACTTGTAATTTTTCCATTAATATTTTACGAATAGTTAATCATGAGTGTTGAGCTATCTGCCCATATCTATTTTATGTGAGACTTAACGTTTATTTGATGTTGTTGCCTTTACTAGAAGTTGCTCTTTTGAATATTTTTGTTTGTGAGTCAAAAGTCTAATTACGTAATTATTCAATTAAGCCACAATATCCTCAGGTTCTATGATCTAGGATGAATACTATGTACATAATTTATAGTAATTAATTGATATGGTCATTGTCGCATACGTCTTATCAAATTGATCCTTTTTTTTTTTCCCCTGTTAATGAAGAATTTGTCTAATCCATGGATCCAGTTCTAATAGGCTAATGAAACTGAATGTTGAGACCCACTATGCTCTATGAGACGGAATGTTAGGCTGTCAAGAAACAACATATTCATAGAATAATTGAGATGAGAATGTTGAGATGCATGATTGACAAGACACAAAAAGATAGAATTCAGAATTAATGAATTAGAGAGAACTTATGGGTGGATCAAATAGGTGATAAGATGAGGGAATATAGACTTAGGTGGTTTGACCATACGCAATGTTGACCTAGAACAACACCGGTTAGGGGGGCCGATTTGGTTCGAGTGGAAGGCTCTGAGAGGAAAAAGGAAAGCCTAAAAGGAGATGGATGGAAGTAGTGAGAAGAGATATGGTGACCTATGGTCTAATCTGATGGGTATGGCCCTTGATAGAGCAGAATAGTGGAACAGTATTCGTGTAGCCGATCCCAAATAGTTGAGATAAGGTTCAGATGATTATAAATTGATATGGTCGTTCAAATAATTATTTGATAAGTTGATTGGTGAAAATAATGCAAGTACATGATAAGTATTGGTCCAGGGTCACTTAGTAATGATAATCCAACTTCTAAATTTAGTCATAATGAGCCATAGTTTGAGTTTTTTCTGGTAAATTTAGACCACAAAAAACATGTTGATAGATATTGTTGTTAATTAGGTCAATATTTAAAATTCTACTTTGTTGAAAGTGTTTTGCACTTGTACCAAGAGGCAAAATGATTTGGGGTAAATCATAAACTAAAAAATCAGTGCAATGCTTAGGTTTGTTCTGAAGTGAGTCTTATAAGCATTTTTTTTTTGGGAAAAATAAAGGAGACTTGATTGGATTCACAGAGATATGGACCATATGGTGGTAGCTACGACAGGATAGGTGGAACAAGCATAGTGAGAAAGGGGATATATAGCGGAGGGAGGAGGGGAAGAATGAAGAAATACAGTTGCGACTATGTACAACGAAGCTTTAAAGGGGAGAGAGGAAATGTATGGGCTGTTCCATGGAGATGTTTTCGTACACCGTGAACAGGGGTATGGCATGTGAGGGATAGTAGGAGGTTAGAGAAATAATTGTTTATGGCAACCATGAAGAGTTGACACTTGGATGAGAGGAGGTGGTTAACAGTTGACAAAGAGCTAGTGGGTTCATAGGTTGCTAAGCTGGAATGAATTTGACTTGTGAATTATGATTTGGTAATTTTAGAACTTAAATATACTAGACTTATAAGAAAAAGAAGTCTTGTATGTTGTATATTCTTGAAAGAATTGTCCTAACATTTAACGGAAACCGTCCAATTTTTTGACGGTTCTAAAGCGGATCCTAGAATTTGAGATTGAAAAGATGCTCCCATATAAGTTATGTTATGGAAGAGTAAGTGTAAAATGTGCTCCTCTAGGAGCACACTATACACACTCATTGATTATTATTTTTGTCGATAATAAGTTAAACTAATGATTCCCTACCTTAGGATTCCTTTATTTCTAGGAGATGTACCCCACTTTATCTCTGCGTATAGGATCCCTTTTTATTCTTGTGACATGTGTCCACCGCTTAAGTTGGGCTTAATAATATGTAGTACAGATAAAAGTTTACGGAATATAAAATTAAGATGAATGGATGAATTAAAATGAAGTTGAAAAACTAAAAGTAAGTTAAAGAAAATGAAGAGAAATATCGAAAAATTATTAAGGGCACCTACCCATTGCATATTGGCCCCTATTTTTGTAGAGAGTTTTACCCTCTTTGAACAGATCGACGTCTCATTCAACATACTTGGTCCAAAGCCATCAGCTAGCTAACTTTCTGGCTTGAGGAGTATTTTACTCAGATCCCCTCCTAAAGACGGTCCACTATGGATCCCAGTTTTTCTTTCTTCTCTTAAGCGTACATTTTTTTGATATAATTCTTTGTACATTTTATATATGTCGATGAATTTTTTACTATGTTAACCATAAACATACACATGCCCACACATGTGCATGCATGCACAAACACCCTCAGCAAAATGCCTACGCGCGTGCGTGTATGGATACAATACAATATATATGTGTGTGCGTGTACACATATATGTTGAGTTTTCTAACACTTATATCTCACCCCCAAGAATTGGATGGTATCTAATTCAATTTTAAGGCATTATTTTTTCAAGCACAGAGATTGTGATTTGGAAAGTCTTTTATTGAGGTTAGTCTATGGTTTTAAGAGGCTACATCCCCAAAATCTGGGGTCCCAAAAGTGCTCCTAGGCTGTATTATGGACAATATACTCTTGCAGGAGCACAAAACCTTTTGGCTGCACGCATAGTCACAGAGAGAGAGAGAGAGAGAGAGAGAGAGAGAGAGAGAGAGAGAGAGTAGTAGTT